TCCTGGGAAGAAATTTAGGTTGGAAATTTTAAAAATACCATAGATGAAATAGAGATGATACTTGTACTCTGTGTCTGCAAAGTTATGACGGTGATTCTAGGCATTGGAAGACCATGCACACAGAAAGGGAAGATACCATCTCTTTCAGGTGCCCTTCCCTGGATTAAGTTGCTTTTGCAGAACCAAAAAAAAAAATTCCAACATGTGAGCCAGTCAGCATTCCTAGGAGCTTTAGGGTCCACTGGAGAACTGCCCAAGTCTGAGTGCTTGGGACGAGGCTGGTGATCCTACCCGAGGGGCACTGAATGCCGCTATAATTCAAGTTCATGCTAGATCGGCGGATACTTTTAGATGTTGTGTATGTTATACATTTAATGGGAGCGTCTGTTGGTTGCGAATTTCATAGCTTGCCACAAGAGTCAGATTATACTTAATTTTCTAAATCAGAAAACCATTTGGGGCTTTGTAGGGAGATGCAGAGGAAGAGGAGGGTTCCACATCTGGGTAATGTGACGCAGGCCCAGAGTCTGGGGAAGTTTCTTTTCTTTTTTTTTTTTTTTTTTTGGATGCAAAGGTAAAGAACACATAAGCAAATTCAGGGCAGAGATTACCAGAAGGCCCTATCCACCAGGAGACTAGAAGCTTCCATTTATAACTCTCACAGCAGGAATGAATTTAGGTTAGTCAGAAAGCGAGGGCAGTGACTTTTGTGTATCTGCATCTGCCTGCGTGGTGCACGGAGGGCACAGGCTTGCACAACCACACCCGTGCACAGACAGGACGTGAATGCATCTCTTCCCCCCCTAATGAAATGCAGCCCCGTCAGGGTGGGAGCCAGCAGCTCTTGATCACCACCCAGATTGTCTCTCAACACTCTGGGATAGGAAGTCAGAAGGAAGTCTTGAAGAGAGTGGGAATTTCCAAGAGGCTCCAGATAAGTGGTGGCAGCTACCCTGAACATTATTTAGGCCGTGGCTTCAAAAATAAAATAAAATAAAATCAGGTATAAGGCTGGCTTAGCCCACAGAAGTGGTCCTGAAGAACTGCATGCAATGTGAATTTTTGTAAATTGAATCATCATTTTAATGCAGTAGGGGACCTCGCTATTTAAAGGAACCTTTCATGGAATCTTTCTGTAATGGAAATAATTGGCTCCAGATTTATGCCTTTTGTATATTTGCATTTTCTCCATGCTAGGTTTTCTTAAAGTGAAATGTACCTGTTCTCTCTCAGCTCCTACTTAGAGTCACTTTTTAGGAGTAAGTTTATTTTACACAGGGAAAAGAGTGCAGAGGAATTAGGGACATGTTAAAGGCAGAAAACGGCATATATATATATATATATATATATATATATATATATATATATATATATATATATGGCAAGCAGTCCCTGCAGAGGCCATGACAGACATTGATAATCAATCCCAGCACTCCTCCCAGCTGAGCCCCAATGCGCCACAGATGGTTTCTTAAGACAGCACTGTAGGCAACCAGAACTAATCAATTGGAATTGGTTCAAAGGATAAAGCACATTTGCCATTCAGAATACTGGCTCTACATTCACTCCTTAAGGCCATGTAAAAATTAGTTTGGATCCTAAGTCCACAGTCCATTCCTTAGCTGGAATGTGATGGAAGATTTGCATATGAGCAGGATGGACAGACAGATATAGCCCCAGTCTTGCCGGACAGTGCCAAGAAGACAGGGAAACAGATGGATGAACCTACCGTATCATATGTGCAGGGGTCACGGGATGAATCTGTAATCAACTCAGAGGCAATCTACAACTGCCCCTGGTGTGCTCTATCTAGTATGAGCCCTGCTTACCCTCAAGCTAAAGATGGGCCATCTTTTGAAGCAGCGATTTTGCTGGTAGAAAACTTTTAAACTGGGATGGTAAGGGTTTTTATATATTTTTTTCTTTATCTGAATATTAAGATAAACCTTGCGAGACCCTGTCTCAAAATAAAAAATAAAAAGGGCTGGGGATGTGGCTCAATGATTAAGTGCCCCTGGGTTCAATCTCACCAGCAGGGAAGACCTGCTGTTGCCCGGGCTCTATCCCACGTTGTGGCATCTCCTCTCCACTTTGCCATATGCCAGCCATTCCAGTGGGCAAGACTGAGCACCCTGCTGTAAGCATACAGCAACTTCTTTCCAGGTAAAGAAAAAAAGAAAAACAACAAAAAGACTGTCTTTTCATTGTCCTGGACTATGAATTCTTAGCCAATCTGAGAAAGGAAGTTTAGAAGATCTTTTTATTCCTCATTCCAATTCTTACCAATGTTATAAGAGCTAATGCTGCATATCAGGCATGGTGTAAAGTGGTTCTTGTCAACATTCTACATGGAATCCTGACACCCACTCTATGAGATACTCGAATAGATACCACACAAGCTGGAACTACTGAGGCCAATAATGTGTGCTTCTTCTAACTGTGGTGACTGAAGACTGGAAGCATACTGTGCCCTGCCCAAGGTTTGGTGACACTGCCTATCCCCTCCCTCACAGAGAACTTCTGCAGAAAACCCTAAACATAGCTAGCATCCTCACATGTCAACACCCCTATTCTATTCAATTTCTAAGTACAGATGATAACTCAGGCAAGCTGACTTCCAGCTTTACAGATAGTCTTTAAGGAAAAAAAAAAAAAAAAGGATGTACATTCTGATTTCTATCTTTTGCCTACCATCACCACAAACAGCAGTTGGCAAGGAAAATAATTACTTACCCTGAAATGTCAACAGCTTCTCAGCACAGAAAAAAATATAAATCAAATTGTTTAGATTAACAAATGCAGAGTTATCATTTGTTAATATGAGAAATGAAATGTTTTAACTGTAAAAATCATTGCAGATGAAAGACCCAATTTGCAGGGTATTCTGCAAGAACCACAAATTATCTTTCACAACCACTGTAGCTCATGAGGGGTAATTTGCAAACGCCTCATAGATTATTTTCAGCTGTTTATTGCTGCTGTCCTATTCATAGATTCCCCTATAAAAATGTCTGTCCATCATAGGGCCATGCTGAAGGTACATTGAGGACAAAATTCATAATTCTTGTTGGTTATTTCCGAGAAAGCCACATAAAATATCATTTTTCATCATATTTAGTAGAACAGCATGACTATAGACAGGTTATTTTTTTGCTTTGCTGGAGATCAAAAATTCATAAACAGATATTATAGCTGTCCGCAGTGATGCATAGAGGGAGGGTGGCGGGGAGGCAAGCTGCCAGAGAGACTCTGGAGCAAAAGATCTAACATCAAATCCGTATCTGAAAAGCTTTTATAATGAAGGCCAATTGCCCTGACCCTGCAGGAAGAATCTCGTGCTTCTGTTCATAAAATGCCAGTGGGTGACTGAAGGTCTTATTTTTCCTTACAAAAAAAAAAATGTCAGACCAAAAAAATGATTCATACGTGGGTTTGTTCCTGAAGCTTGATGAAACCTCAAATCTCATTGCTTAAATCAACCAAGTACCCATGAAAAACAGACACCTTTGTCTTAGACCTTAAATATCCAAAGAAGTAGCTAAATCAATTTCCAAAATAATCTGTCTGCAGCACACATTCATATAATTATACAACAGCTGCTAGAAACCTATAACTTTCTATTGTAGGTCAGGAAATTACTGTTTCCAGTTTGGTAAAACCCATCCGTGTGTTCACTGCTAAATGTTATTGACTGAAGTCTACCAGAAACTCATATTCCAAACCCACCTGGCATTGCTGGTCTGTTTTCCCTTTTGATGGAAATGCTTTATTTTTTTTTTTTTTTAATGGGCAAGTTGCAATGAGGCCTCAAAGAAACCCTTGTCCCATTCAGAGAAGATAACCTATCCATAACCTATCACCCTCTTTTTGCATCCTTGACTGGACTGGGCACACCTACTTTCACTCTAATGATATTGAATATACATTTAGATGGATAAGATGTCCAGCCCACAAAACTCAAATCAAGAAGACCCGAGGGGGTGGGGGGAAATCAAAGGATTTAGAAGCAAAGAAAAGCATTGAAGAACATTGAGCCCAGGCCTGGAAAATTTCAAAATAGCAGCCACCAGACTCTCTCTCTCTCCATTACAGGCATTGCTAATAGATCATGGCAAACTTATCTGCTGAGCCTCAATAAGGCCTCAGAATCCTTTAAAATCTGTTTTCCAGGTACCCACGACCCATCAGCTGGGGTTGACATGAGAGATTAAACCTATTTGCTACCCCGATACAGTCCAGTGCCCTTATTTTACAGATAGGAAATAGAAGCAGGAAAAAGGAAAGGAACTTTTCAAAAGTCACACACATAAATTAATTGTATGCCTGATAAACTCAGTTGCAGAAGCATGGGGTTTAGCATGAATGATACAACCTGCCTTAGCCAGCTTTTCTGCTGCTACAACAAAAAAATGCAACTAGAAAAATTGTAAAGGAGGAAAAGTTTATTTGAGGGCTCATGGTCTCAGAGGTCTCAGTCCATAGACAGCCAGCTCCATTCTTCAGGGCTCCAGGTGAGGCAGAACATCATGGAGGAGAGTGTGGTGGAGAGGAGAGGCCCACATGGTGATCAGAAAGCAGAGAGAGAGAGACTCCAATCTTTATATAAAAATATATATATCCCAAAGCCATGCCCCCAAAGATCCATCTCCTCCAGCCACACCCCACCTGCCTCCAGTTACCATTCAGTTAATCCCACTGGCATTTAATTCACTCATTGGGTTCAGGTTCTCATAACCCA